GCAGTTTGGCAAAGTCCCACCTGGACATCAAAGCTGCTTTGCTCGAGGTGACAGATCTGACATCATCCATCAAAGCTTTGGAGACTGAATTGAACAACAACCGGGGCGTTCCGGATGAGTCACTGTGGAAGAAAGTGTCTTCGTTCAGCCTTGTGACATCCTCGCTTGCTCAGGAACCTCAGCCAGAGTCAGGCTTGACTTCAGAGCAATCGGATGTGATATCTGCTTTGAAGGATGCCGGATCGTCCATTGTCACCCACAAGAAGCTTGATGAGACCATGCCCGGATTTGTGGACTTCCTCAATCGCCAGTGGCTAGATCCATCAGCCGAGTTGGACGAAAAGGCAAAGGTGACTCCTCAGCTCAAATTGGTTGAGCAGCCAGAAGATTTTGACAAACTCCTTGCCGACACTGTCATTGCAGGCCTGGCCTGGCTGTTGTCTTGTGTCAATCTCTGAGACCAGCCACCTTTTCAACATTTGATTTGATTTTGGCATTGAACATTCAGATTCACTCACATTCACATTCATTATTAGACTACATTATACATTGTATTATTTCATTCAGCCAGACCGGACCGGACCGTTACATACCGCAGCGTTAGAGTCACAGTTACTTACTTACCTCACCTTTGACTTTTTGGCTAGGTGTAATGTGTGACATCCTGTCAATGCTGGGCACTTTCTGCTTTCAATTCCTTTCTTTGAGAAGAACGTTGAAGACATCATTGATGTGTTCTAATGGCTGCTCAAAGCCTGTAGCCACCAGTCCATCCGCACTGCCTCTTGAGGCCGGTTGCAGCTCTACTTTGGTGATGACAAGGTCATTCCCAAAGCGGTCTCCACTCTCGTGTCCACAGTGAGTGCCATCCTGCATGGCCCTTATGCCCAAGAGGATGTTTTTGTGCTCTCCCGGGCTGCCTCACTGTGGTCTCAGAGCAGGCCATGTCTGGATCAAGCTTTGCGACTGGATGCCGAGACTAAGAATAAGTTTCCGGTCATTGAAGCTTCCAAGGCTGCTTTGGAACGGCTGGAGACAAAGATCCAGAAGGCTTCCATGGAGTACGTGGTGAACTTCTTGAGCTCTGAGGGAGTGCCCGGCGCACTGGATCGCTTGCAAGCCGCTTTCAAGGAATGCGCATTTACTTCAGGCGTGCAGCAACTCATGAATGACCTCAAGATTTGCGACTCAGTCGACCCGCAAACTTTGACGGTGAAGTTGGAGCCGGAGGATCGTGAGGCTTTGAGGCAGCACATTCCTTTCTACGTGAAAGTCAAATCACTTGACCTGTCCCTTGTGAACGAGATGCTGCCCGAGTTTGGGAAGAAAGTTGAGGGATTTGTGTCCATGTTCCACAGTGTCTTCAAGACATGGGTGAAGGACAAGATCAAGTTCATCAATGGCTGCCAGGAGCACTTGGACAAATACAGGCATGGGTTGACCCCAAGTTTCACTTGGAAGATGGTTTTACTGACTAACTGTGCAGTGGTTGTTCTGTTACCTTTTCAAAGGCCAGGCCAGGGGTGCACTACTACCACTACTACTGGACTGTACTGTACCACGACTACTACTACTACTACTACTACTACTACTACTACTACTACTACTACTACTAGTAACAATAAATACAAACAAAGTTAGTGACCAAACGCAGGTTCGCTGCCACAGTCACAAGTTTGCTTCCGACATCTTCTGACAACCTTGGGGCCGGCCTTGGGACAAGACTGGGACTAACTCATACTGTATAATGATCACTGAGAGACTTGATTCAAGGAGGACTTGCAGAAACATCTGGGAACTGACACTGAATGAAGGAATTAGTTTTGATTTGGATTTGATTGGATTCGATTCGATTCGAATCGAATCCGATTAATTCGATTAGTTATACAGTACATTAATTTTTAATTACTATTATTACTATTCGTAGGAATTTCTGTACTGCTATTATATTGTCCGTACCATACCGTACCTAAATTGAAAATTGCTTGCTGTTTGTTTGGTGCAGACTCGTGTTGCTGTCTCCCACACTGAAATTGGGTGTGGCTAGGCCGCATGTCACTGTCACATGAGTCACATGTCCCCATCCCAGCGGGGCATTGTTCCTGTCATTTCAATCCAGTCAATTGTTGTTCGCTTTTTTTTGCGTGGAGTACAGAGTGGAACTCACACCAATGGCCAAACATGGACAGAGTCAGTCTTCCACAGCAAGAGTGTCGCAAGTTGATTTTGGATTCTTGAGTTAGACAGTTGTAATGTTTGCCAGGCCGATCATGCTCGCTGTGGACTCTGGGAACTATGAGCCTGTGAACTGGATGTTTGAGACGTCCATGGAGAAGGAAAAGGAGATGAATTCTGCCATCAGCGATCTCATCGAAACTCGAGACCAACTTGCGGAGTTCATCCCCATCTTCAAATCGGTGCAAGGCATTGCAGATTTCGCCATCAGCGAGAAAACCTTGAAGGACTCTGTGCTCAGTTGTGAGGACGGGGACAGCGCTTGATCGAAATGCACAAAAATATCAAAGACTCTCGTCACTCTCGTCTATAATATGATATAATAATTATAATATGATTATTTGATATGATACAATGGTAGCCAAGCCAGCCGTATATATTTGGACTGGACTGTACTGGACATACTTTGATTCTACCGACTACTTACCTATGACACAAATCACACACTATGAACTTGTCAAGGCAGGTCAGGCTGACCGTTATTCTATAGTGTTCATCAAGTGTCAATTGTTGACTGGTCACTGGTCACTGATTTGCTGTTGAGCCCAGATGTGTTTACAAAGTGCTGAGCACCATTCAAGCCAAGCAAAAAGGATTTTGAACCATGGCCATATGGCACTGCTTTTTTGTTGTCAGCAGGAGTTTCGCAAGTGTGCAGCCATGTGCGTCACCCTCATCACCATTGGCAAGTTGGTGTTTGCACCGCCCAAGGAAGGCGCCAATGCAGATCAGCGGAAGGCTGACTTTGCCAAAGCGCTGCAGTTTTCTGCAACTCTTGGATTGTCCAAGGCGGACTTGCCTCCAGACTTGCTGAGCAAGACCGAGAATTGGGTGGCAACAGGTGATCCTGCAAAGCCATCGGAGATTGCGGAGCCAGCGAAGGCAGCCCGGAAAAGGACTGCCTCCAACCAAGACAAGGTAGCCAAGAAGCAGCGCCAGAAGCCACAGGCAGAGTCAGGGCGCAAGAGGAAGAAGAACTGAACGCTGGAAGCCAGGGTTCTTGTTTGAAGGGGGTTTGGCCAACAGTGTGAAACACTGTGCTGCCACACTTTTGCATCCTTTGGCATAGGATATCCAAACCTCAGCCACGGAACACTACAGTACAGGTTAAGACTAAGACACTATACTTACTATAATCCTATACAGCCTATTACAAATTACAAATTTGACAATTGTTAGTTGTTACTATGTTACACAACATATATTAGTACATACATACAGACACACAGACAACTGTAGGTAAGTACCAAATGCTACCTGACAAGCACTGCTCTACGGTTTTCGTTCCAATCCCAATTTGTTTGAAACTTGGAGTGGCAGGGGAAAGCGATTTGGCCAAAGGTTTTGATCCAGACCGAACCGCATTAGATTCTCAGACCTAGGTTGCAGTGCCTATGCCATGCCACAAATGAATCCGGTTGGGACAGTTCACTGTTCCAGGAATGGCAAGGACACTCAGGATGAAACTGGGAAGGAGTTGAAAAGGCAGTTGCAGCTGCGTAGCAAAGGCATGACACTGAAGGTTGGACTAACTACAAAGAATACTAAACTTTTCCAGTGCGAGTTTGTGCACCTTGTTGAAGATTGGTTTTTGTGTTTTGATGTTGCCTGAACACAGTACTCATTTGGAGTGGCCCCCCCACTTTGTACAAAATGAATCCGGTTTTGCCACCCCTGTGTAAACTACTGCCCTCATCAACCCTCCTTCGTAACCACTGCCCACTGACAATCACAACTGAACTTCTAAACAAACACTGGCCCAGGATGAAGCAGTGGAGAAAACAAAAGCTAGCTGGGCTGAGTTAGCTAGCCCTTAGAACCTTAGCAATTCAATGAAGAGTCCCCAAACTATGAAAAGCTCTCAGACTATGCAGCAATTCTATTGAAACAACTCTGCAAATTTTATAAGGTGCCCTGCAAATTTTAGAAATAACCCTGCAAATTTTAGAAATAGCCCTGCAACATTTAGAAATAGCCCTGCAACATTTTAGAAATAGCCCTGCAAAATTTAGAAATAGCCCTAACCTGTCAACAGACAAATAGGCTGACCCAGGTCCTAATGACTACATAAGTTTTATCAGATATTCTTCTTCACCTGCAGGGGATCTTTGGGCCAAAGTCTTTGGGGTTTCCACAGAATATCCACGCAAGGTCAAGATGGAAATTGAGATACACAACTGGGACAAAAGTTTATCTTCTTGAAGGTTCCGAATCGAGCATCCTTTCCCGGTAGAAAAAAAGACGCTTATGTCACCTCACACCGTCGCATTTCCTCCTTCCAAGGCTGTTTAGTTGTTACTGTTATAAAGACTTAAAAGAGGGTGATAATTGACCGTCCCACACTGGCCACCCGAAATGGACTTCTTAATTCGACCGCGGCTGATCCACATAGGTATTATAAGACCCGGTAAGAAAAGACTTTCTTCCTCCTGATGTATATCGAGATTCTGTCTTGAATCGAATCCAGCTTTTGCTGTTCTCAAGGTCTCTGTCACTTTTAGTGGATTAGTAGACAATTTTGTTTGGAACAAGGCTTGCGTGGATACTAGGATACAATTGCATATGCTTGCATATAACTGCCTCTAAGATGAGAAGGAGGACGTTCCCCATCGACGACAGGTCACGACCAGGTACCTGAAAAAGGCCGCACTCAACCATGAGCAACCTTTCTTTTAAATCAGCCTGGGCGAATCACCGCGATTTCCATCGATTTCCAATCCTTCAAGCTTTCAATCATTCCCGCGAGCTTTTCAAAAAAAAGACAGGTTGGCCTGGCCCGGATGATCACCAACGAGCTCCTGGATCGGCGTGACCCAGGTGAGATCAGAGGCCGAAATATGTGGGATGCGGGGTTTTCAATTGGGGCGACCGGAGGGTTGTGGGACGGATTTGTATATTTGGATGGGATTTACTGTATATAGTAGATGGACTCAGCATGTTTCCACAAAGTTTCCTTTAGTATGGTTTTTTTGTTGCCCACTGAAACACAAGTGAGCACGGTGCGCTAGTTGGCAACGCAACACAATGGCAGTTCGTCGCACCATCTCGCTCCATCCACCTCTACCTCGCACTTTTTGCATAAGCAGGTGTGTACTAAGATGTACTAAGCATAGAAAGACATCTATTCCCGACGGGTTTTCCATGGTTTTGTCGCGCGCTTGTCCTCCACCGGTCGATTTTTTGAGTCTCGTGTCCGACTTGCAGGAGCCGAGGTGGTGAGAGGCGTGGGCGGCTGCGCGGGGCGAGGGGACTGTGACGAGGTACATAAAACCCCAGGCCCTTGGCCAAGGGAATTTGGGGAACATTGTGATCACTCCATGGTGATGGGTGGTAATCTAGGGGTGCATTTCGTTGGTGCGAAAGGCTTTGAGAACGAGAAGAACGGCGATGTGCAGAGGGGCTCGCACGTTTCCCAGCACAGTAGATTGTTATACAATTACAATACAGACACAGAGATTACAGAACCCAAGAGCCAGGTGCAATACTCTCAAACCTTGCTCCAGGGTTTGGGTAAGGCAAACTCCACAAAGAAATTGGCCCGGCCAAAAGGTGGCGGGTCCAGCCTGGTGGATGCTGCCGCAGGACAAGAAGCAAATCAAGAGGCCTGTGGCGACATCCCTGAGGTGGTTGACGCGCATTTCGTACCAATTCAGCAGAACAATTTGCAGAACGTGCAGGCCAGGGGGTGCTTTCGCGAGGGAGCCTCTACGTGCGAAACATTTCTCACTCTGTCCGGATGAGCTGTCATGAGCATGCTCTTTTGCAATAATATGGTTATGAAGCTGAAGAGAGTTGCATGTACCTGTATAATGACAAGGTCCACACTCTGCATTTGATTGTTGAGCTCCAGGAAGAATCGGAGGCAGAACCGGTTCTGATACCTACCGCGCGGAACTCAAAATCAATAGCACTGTGCTGGTCTCAAAATCGCAGCTTTTGTTTGTAAGATGATGCTCCGCTACCATTGTTTTAGAAAATAAGATGCTGAATCCACAAGAAGAACATGAACTGAGTTGGGCTCCTCCGGTGGGCCTCGGCGGGTGTCGACCCAGGTACTCGAAGATGAAGAAGAGAGGAGATCCAGACTGCACGCGGAGCGGAGACAGCAGAGAAGGTGGGATCACCACTTTTCAGCGCACTGAAATCATGAGGATTCCAAGTGGATGCCTTGGCACAGGTCATTTCAGCTTGATGTGGTGACATGTACTGTAGAATGGTTTGCTGGAACAGAAAACCAGTTTTTCAATCACTTTGTGCAGAAACCGCAGAGATCGTTTATATAAGCCAATTTAAGCCAACCAGAATCAATATTGAGACCTGCGACATAGGCATCCTCCATCTTCACGATGCCCTGGCCATTCAGCTCAGGCGACGCCTCGCTGAGATCCTCGCAGAGGAGAGATTCGGCAGTGGACTTCGAAGCAGCACCGGTGAGAAAGGGCTAAGATGATGGAAAGGGCTACTAGTAGCGATGCCCTCAGTAGCTTCTTGCTGCTATAGTAGTAATGCCCTTTGCTACTAGTTACTAGCGATTAATTGGTGATGATGGATGTCCAACTTCCTCACAATTTTTCGCAAGCTCGGATTCATCCAAGACAGACAATATCCACCTCCGCCGTAGGCCTCATTTCTCATCAGTGAGCTCTTGAAGAAGTTCATGTTCCTACAACCATTGTTGCACATGTTTTTCAGAGCGCAGATCAGAATCCTCTCAGAAGAACTCAACTTGTGAAGGGCTGGGTACCATGATAAGCCTTCAAGAAAGGAACCATAGCCTATATCTTTTTTGACTGCATTTTCGGATATGTTCGGCGGTTTTCCAGGAGTTTTCCTCGGTGGCAACGTGACGCCTTTCGTGACCTCCGAAATTCATTCAGTATTTGGTGGACTCAGCAGATGTGAAGACAGAAGAAACATGCAATGACAAGCAGGTGGCGTTTTGCCTGGTCTTGCAAGTACAGACAAGATTTCTTACTTGCTTGTTAGAATTTTTGCCAATGCTTTACATGGCAGCTGGTCAACCAGAACCTTGTGCATAGTCGATTGTTTTGAGCATCGATTGGGCAGCACCCAACAGTGGGGCCAACATGCTGGACATATCATCAACATATCCAATGAACTTGGTCAAGGTCCACATCATTTCAGATACTCAAGTTAGAGAGCTTAGCACAATACATAACCATGACCATTTTCTTTGGCAGGTTGCGTCCCTTTCTCACCATACCCCGACTGTACTTACACGATCTTACACGTCTCTTGTTTTTTCTTGGCCTCTCAATTCGTCGCGTGCCGTGCCAGGCGTGTGTGTATCACTGAGACACGCAACGTGAGACTCCAAAAGTTCGTCGGGAGGGGAAAGGTTTGTCGTCTGCCTCAGACCTCACCGACAAGCCGCACATTTCGATGCGCAAGAAAACATGTTGTGCAGTCCAAGCGTCTTCGGTTCAAAATGATTCCAAGCTAGTTCGAACCCTTTCAGCAGATTGACATAGGGAAACATATCTTAGAGAATTCCAAACCCAAGCAACAAAGGTCTTAAGAGTTATTGGTTTCACACGCTGGCTGAAGTTGTGGCCATGGCGGCTTTAGGGCATGGCGGAGGTTTTCCCAAGGCCCAAGGGACTGCTTGGTGCAAGAAATCATCTTTTCTTGGAACCAGGTACCGAGGTAGTCGAGGCTTTTGGCAGATTTATATAGATCGGGAAGGGTTCCTGCAGCCATAGCTCCTCCAACATAGATACCGCTATGCTCCGTGTGCCACTCAAGAGAAGCGGACGAGGTATCCATCCGCCAAGATGGGTTTTGGAGGTGACTGTGGTAGACAGATGGTGCAGGCTCCCAAAGTAGTTGACGGCTCCGGTTGTTTTACATGAGCTGCTGAGGAAACATCCTTGCAAGGCTTGACGAACACTTCAATTATGACGTGCCTTTCAAAGTTCCGTTGAATCTTACTTAATAAAGGTTTAAGCTGGTTAATAATTTAAGGTGGTTTATTGGGCTTCAGCTATGTTTGAGTCCGTCAACATCTCCAATGCTCGGGAGGCAGGAAGTTCAACCGGATCCACATCATCCATCAAGTGGCTGAACTGAAGAGACTCTGCCTGTGGTTTCTAAGATCACCAGAAAACGGGACTTTTTGAGCTGAAAGGCACTGACTGTACAGTGAAAGTGACGGTTGGCCAAATTCAGATGGGGTAGAAAACTAGGCAGCTGAAGTGGGAAGACCAGACTGATTGGAGCGGTGACGCTCGAAATCGATCGAGCTCGGACCGATCCGCTCGCCTAGGCGGATCCAACGAGAACTCAAGGAGATCAACGAGTCTCCGTCCAAACACTGGACGGGTTCGCGTTCGATGGCGCGCGTTCGATGCGTGCCATCGATGGCGCGCGTGCTTCTCCCGAGGTACAGCAAATCTGGTGAAAGAATGTGATTGGAAAGAGTCACAATTTATGAAAGAGATGGAACAAGTGGAAGAGCCCCCGGTGTTTTCGTTGTCACCGTGGTCACCTTTTTGCAGGACTGCCGGCCCAGCCACTGACGATCTCTTCGAGTGGATCGTGAGACGCCTAAACCGATGGCTGCAAAGCTCGATCTAAACCGACCTTCCAAAGATGACAAGCTGCAGCAAGCAGCCAGGTGAGCTGTTTTTCTCCCTCACGGGGAGAGGCACTTTCATAAGGATTCTTCAAGGAAATTGTGAACTTTTTCTAGACAGTAGAAAAGCACTTTCATAAGAAGTGGCTAACCTTGCTTGGGGCAAATCTAAGATGGACTCTAATCCCCATTGAAAGGGCCAAGTATGATATGCTTGCAGATGTGTTTTGTTGTTTTACATAACAAAAACATTGAAAGATACTGGCATATTGACGCACGTTTGGAAAACGTGTTTCTGTTTGATGCACATACCGTATCGAAACGAATACACATTTACCAATGCTGAGGTTGCTTCTGTTGAGAAGAACAAGTGAACATAATAGTGCGCAGATCATCCAGCTCAATAGCAGATCTTTTTGATATCATCATGTTGGCAAAAACCAAATCCTTGTCAGCTTCCAAGCTCTTTCTCCTGACTTTAGCACATGTGATCCCATTTAATTTAGTAGGACTCACATTGACTTTGAGTGCTGGAGTCAATGGTCTCATTCAATTGATCCCTTTGCGCACCGACTGCTACGACTGAGTTTGCCGTTCGTGGTCCACCCGAAACAGATTTTGAAGGAGGCGTGGCCTGTGACCGGTGCCTAAACGGCACCCCTTGCAAAGGAGAGAGAAGTTTTCTCCTGTCAGGTATTTACACTGGGAAGATTGTTCTTCCAGTTCGCCTCCAAGGGTGTGTGAGTGTGTACGGAAGACAAAGTCTTGCAAGTGAGGTCAGACCTAGGACCTAGAATGAGGCTCGCAATCATTGTCTTCAATACATTTCAATGACACCTTTGCTCTACACCACCCATCACCACCCCCTTGTTTCTGTGTCGTCCTTCTCCCACCGAGGTGAATTACCCCTTAGCGCCGCCATCCATTACCCTGCTGACGCCGAGCGGTCGGTGGGAGGCCTTGCCGTAGAACCGCCGCACCGCCGGACACCGCTGACCACTGGTGTCACTTGTGTCGCAGGTGGGCAAGAAGATCTGCCTCAGCAATACAAGCTCCATGGCTTTAGTATATGTTTCTTCAAATGGGAGGGCTTTTTGCAGCTCTTTGGGCAATCAGATCGGGAGTCGGTCCTGGATGGTCCCATGAGATGTGGTCTAATTGGAAAAGACATGAGAAGACACAGTTTGGCTTCTTGAGCTCGTCAAAGACTTGTGCTGAGACTACCATCCTGATCTCTGGCAACCAGCATGGGGAATCCGAACTATGATGGAGGCAGGAAACCCTTTTTGATCCCTTTTCATCCCTGTTTCGTATGTTTTCATCAGGACCCCACACTGGGGCTGTCGGACATCGTCGGTGTCGTCGAGTTTCTGACCCCCCCAACACGTGGACCTGCTGGCACCGTTCTTGGTCAGGCATTACGAAGTCATTTTCCAGCGGCGGGTGACGGCGCGATTGGTACAGCCGGCATGGAATCAAAGGGAGAAGAGCAAGGGTGCAAGACGAATCAGACTTTTTAAATGGCTAAATTCATAGTTGCACCTTCCGGTCCTGGCCTTTGTCAGCATCACTTGCCGTTTCAGCTTTTCAGTGTACCTTGGGACTCCACGTTTGCCCAGCAAACACTCGGCAGGTGCGCTCGACTGGCCTAGCGACATGCGCAAGCGCTTGGCACAGGTGGGAAACGCTTGGGTCTGTGGGTTGTGGGTTTGCACTCCCTAGCTTCCCTAGGAAGATGCAGACTGAATATCCCGACTTCAGAATAGTTTTATTGTTTTGGAGACGCAACTTGGTCTGTGAGTGGTTCTCCTGGAGGACCTCTCTCTTCCCGAGTTGCTGAATCTCATTCTTACTGTGCAAGCCGAGTGGGTTTGCATCCTTGTTGAGGAGACAACCAGAAGCTTGCTTAGTAGGCTAAGTGACCCCAACCAAAAGAATGCAGACTGAGCTTCAGGCACATCGCCCTTTTTTGTTGAATATTAAGCGCTCCATCTCAAACTGCATCCTCTATTACCTCACCTGTGCAGGTCACTTCACCATTTTAGCAGCACATGCTCATCCTCCGCAGTTTACTCCTTTGCTGCTCTCGCTTTGTTCGGACGTGTGATTTCACAGGAATCCTTGGACTTTGTGACCATGCCTGGAAGCTCGGGCTTGTGGTCCAACAAGTCAGCTGCCCAGTTTTCGACACCTGCTTGACCACAGAGTTGCTGTACCTGCTTTCGGCCCAGTATATACCCGTCTTCGGGCTCATCTTCTTGGAGTTCAAAGGATTTGGCTGTCTGATGGTTTGCTGATTGGCTTAGGAATCGAGATTTGCTGCCAGAGCTTTCTCCAGAGGAATTGAAAGAGGAGACTGGGCTGATTCTCGAGGGTGGAAAGAAACCAGAGGGCTTCCAATTGGGTTTGTTGCATCGAGCTTTGAGATGTCTTGCTCTGAATCGTGCAACTTTGGCTCCAGCTGCATAATTCACTGATTTTTGCAATGCTTCGAACAGCCGTTCCTCATCTAAAGAAGGATGGTCGAAAGATGCTTTCGGTGGGTGGCTGGACCTGTGGTTTCGGTGGGTTGGCATGTTTCGGAGATGCAAATGCCTCCACAAACTCAGCGAACTGGCTCACGGCTCACGGATCGGATCGATTGTTTGTTCAAAGCAGGGAATCCACAAGTTTCTCGGTTTGGACTCGGTCCACCTCATGGGGCACCGTTTTCGGTCCGAGGGAAGGCAGTTATTGTTTATGTTATTTACACCCATATTCGGTGGGTTTGGAGCTGAGCATAGCCGAGAAAAGGGGAGCTTGGTCAAAATGGGCATCATGTTTCATCCCCAGCAACCGACTGGTTGCCTGCTGGTTCCGACCGCCAAGGTGCTCACCCATTGATGAAGCCACTCACACGGGTCACACGGATACTGCTGGTTTTCCTGTGCCGCTTGGCTTGCAAATATTTGCAAAGTGGTGCCGGGAAGAAGATGGAAACATTGGAAACTGTGAGATGAGGAGAAAGTCGAAGAGGTTTGTACTGAACGCCACATGTTATGACTATACAAAATAAGCAGCATGCAAGTTTATGCATGATACAAATTTTTTGCCAGCTAACCGGGGTTCCAGTTTACAACCAGGGTTCCAAAAAATCTTTGCATACGGAACTAACTTGTTAGGTTGTTGATGGTTGTTGCTTGCTGAATATCGAGCCTCAAAGTGCCTCAAAGCCATTTCGGATCAGCTTTGTCTCCACTACACATGTCCTTTGTGCCTTTGTGAACGTGGATCAGCTGAGCTAGTCTGTGTCTTACTTGGTGTGTGTGGGTGTGAAGCAAGCAAACTTCCTTGTTGTGATGTTGCTCACAACTGTTGTGTCCACACTGTTGCGCACGCTAAGACCAGAAGTGGAGCAAGTGACCAATTCGATGAAGAAGGTGAACAAGGGATCAATCCTAAAGAAGGATGCAACCCGATACCCTCAGTTTGGCCGCTTTGTTCAGGGACAGTGCTCTCGATGGAAGCCGCTTGGATTTCCACAGGTTGCACGAGCCAAGCTCCGGCTGGAAGTTGTGACTTGTCATGCACTGCTTGTAGTTGGAACTCGTTTGCAGCACTTAACTAACTTGCAGGACCCAACACGTTACAGCACTGTAACAACTACTGTAACAGCACAACGCATGTTGAAGCACTCACATAACGTTACAGCAGTGCAACAACACAACAAGCACTGTAACTAAGTTGTTTGACCTTGTTGGCCCTAGGTGTGACACCTTGGTGAAACAACACGCCCAATTGGCCTAGGTTCCTCCGCGAAAGCCAAAGTCTCAAGGCAATGTGGAGCACCAGTGCGGAAAGTTTGTCTTGCAGACCATGGGTTGCTTGAGTAGGGTGCTTAGGGTGCAGATTGTATACTGTATACCATGTAGACTGAACTTCTAGCGCTTACTTTGTTGACATGATGTTACGATGTTGTAAGTATTGCTCACCGGTTTTAATCATGCAGGGTGCTTTTCATCAACTTACACGGCAACCACGCAATACATCATCCGGGGAAAGCAGGACTTGGTTGTATACGTTCAGCATTAAATGCTTGTAAGCAGCACTTGGTTAAGTTAGCATCAATTTTGTTTTGCACAGGATCTGGCTACGCAACTGTACCATTCAACCTCGTACACACAGGCATTGGCATGCCAAATGGAACAGCTCCAGAAAGGCAAGTATCTATCCATTGAAATGGCGGAGCACTTATCAGGCCACCAATGTTGTTCACATGCTGCGACACTCACTCCACTACAGGGCTCAAGGTCAAATCGTTTTAAGTATCGTGAGGGCTCCCTCGTGGATGGACTTCTCCTTTCACTACGGTGACTCATCAAGATGTACTGCGTGCATGCCCTTGGAAGGGCGCCCCAGTCATGTACTTAGTTGCCTGTGAAACATACTATTGAAGGCAGTCTTGTTTGCATAAGGTTGCGCAGCACAAGTGCATTTCAATGTTTTCTGGCGTTGGTGGCCTTGACTTGGGCCTGTCTGCGTAGAGATCTTAGAGGTTGAGGTTGAAACAGGTGTGCGCTTGTCTGTAGAGCATTACTTTTTACTATGTGTATTGTTAGCTGCTCTGTAGTCAAGGTTCTGTGAGCCCTTGTGCTTCGAATCGCCCTTAGATGAGACTCTGCGTCATGTTACCACACACTGTCCAGGTTCTATGTTGTTTGGTCGCTGTTGACCTTCACTGCTTCAAACTGCAGGTCGAAAACAACCCACACTGCAGAGAAGTTTTGGGCCAAAGAATTGCAGATGGTTCTCTACCCAACGTGCCCGTGTACACAGATGTGTGGACTTTCCGTCCGACCGTCGACATGAGGGCCACCTGCACTGGCCTGATTGCTGGTTTTCCATGCCAGGATTCTTAACTGGTACAACTACATGCTGACACCATTATCTTGTCAAGCACCAACTTGCTACATCTTGCCACAACACCACGTTCACCAATGTTGTTTCTCTAAGGATGTTTGCGGAGCAGTTTTGATGCAAGGCCTTTCAGGGGCGCGTTCATCTCTAGGAGAAGTCTTTGAGCAGGTAGAGGGGCTACCCTACTTGTGACTTGCATGCGCTGGGACCAACTACATTCACGGATGTTCTTGTTTTGATTGATTGAGTATTGAGGCGATGGATCTTCCTGGAGAGTGTATTTAGTCTTCTCAGGGCAGACATGGTTCCTTTCATGACCTACGTTCTAGAGGATCGATCGTCTTGTTTCCCAACTGTCAGTGAAACATAGTGCAGCCACGCAACACGCACGTCGTGTCTTGCACTTGTCCAGCAGGAGCTGGAACGTCGTGGTTTTCAAGTCAAATGGTGCTGCGTTTCGGGTCGCGACATTGGTGCTCCGGTCCAATACTCAACCAACTTCTTTGCTCATTTCACAACGTTGTTCTGTTTCTTGCGTTGTCTTCTTGATTATGTGTGGGTATGGTTTGCCAATGTTTGCCAGACATGGCGGAAGCGGGTCTTTTTCTTGGCGACAAGGGGTGGTTTCAACTTTGTCAAGGCTTGTACTTGTGAGACAGTTTACCCATTTGGCTTTTAGATTGGTTGTGTCAAGTTATGTCCGCTATTCTTGCCTGTGGGCACTACCGCCAGGATCCGAACAACTTGCTCAGTGAGAAGGAAATCCGCTCGTATCCTGCAAAGCCGTGGCAGCCAAGAACCATTCCAGCCACTCACAAGTGGATCCAAGATGCTTTGACTTCTAGGGAGCGGGAGCAGTTGACGTCTATGGACAACATAGTTGTTCCTGAAATTGCCAATTTTGCGGCCAATGTGCTGTGTCGAGCTTGAAACCTTTGCTTGATACCGTTGAACAGGGGTGTTTGTTGACAAGTTAGATGCTTGTTAAATGCAAATTGGTTGAAATTCGTTGAATAGAACACTAATTACACTAAATTAGCAGTTGTCGGGATCTGCTGCAAAGCAGACCCAATGGCTGATGTTGGCGTAGGACTTCTCCGCCGGTGCCTCAAAAGAGCAAAGGCTCATTGCGCAACGTGCAAAAACCATGCAACATTGCTAAAACCGTTTGACAACATGTGCATTGCAAACTAGCATTGAACGTGCTTGGACACTACGCTTGCCGTCACTCAAACTTTGCACCTACTTGCTTGGCGACATGTTGGAAGTTCTTGCAAACCACACAAGGACTCACAGCCATGACTTGTCATGTTTGATGAATGTTTCAACACAAGTGCTCAAACAGTGTCCTTCTATCAACGCGTGTTTTCATAGAATGGGTAGCGTTGTTGATGCTGGAACCTGAGCAACCACCAACATGTTGTTACATGATGTTGTTACCAGGTTTGTTTACAGTTACATCGTATAGTCCCCGCGCCTGAGGTCGAAGCTGGAGATCTCTACGAAGACACACCCGTTTGTGCCTCAGCCAAGCACCATTGTTGAACAAGATTGGATTTGACATGTGTGAGGGTTATATTCCGAGCATGTGCATGACACATCAGTGGTAGAGTTCCGCATGCTACAATCATCCAACAGTGTGCTGTCTGCATCTAGCAATTTTGGTGGACCAAGCCTGAATGCCCTAGCAGGGTTCACGTCGGTGATCATGTCGCTGGAGGTTCGCGAGTTGAAGGAGCTGGTGTTGGTTCGGGAAGTACAATTCAGAAGAATTCCAGTATGCTGAATGGAAATTGAATGATGCCGGAAAGCGCTTGAAGGTTGCGCAAGACCATGAGGCAGCCACAGCGGAGAGGACAAAGGCTGAGGCCACAGCGGCGGCAACAGCTAAAGCTGCTAGTCCTACTCCTGATGTCAACTCAGAGCCTCAAGCTGGTGAGCAAAGTCATTCACACCGGCCTGAACAGCAGCATGACAACGCAATGCCGTGTGAACAGGAGCCGCATGGCCATGCAAAGCAGCCTGAACAGGAGCAGTGTGATCATGCAGACCATCCTAAAGAGGCAGCTCCGGATGACACGAAGCCTGGCAAGACAAAATCCGAGGATGAAGAGATGCAACCACCTACGTCATCACAGAAGCATCATGGCAAGCATGCTCACAACCAGCGTGACAAGCACGGCGACAAGAGTGAACCCAGCTCCTCCGAAGAGGATCCGGCGCCGGCGGGCAGCTCTGGTGTGTATACTTGGAGCGTCCGGCCGGAGCCGGAGAAGCCAGACTATGGAAAGCTCTTTGACAAGTTCATAACAGGCCCTGCATCAAGAAGCACAACAAGTGAGTCAGGATCACAGGCGTCTCATGGGCCGAATAAAGCACCGAAGTTCACTGCTTAGACTTTGGTGAATGCTGCCAAGCGTGCTGATGCTAGGCAGGTATGCATGGCAGATACCCCG